ACTGAAAGGGAGCTGGTTCGCGACGGTTAGACAGTGTACGCACTTTTTGCGAAAATCCAAAATAAAAGCTTCCCCTCGATAATTCTTACGCGACGTTGACTGTTATATTACGTCTGTTTAATTTTTGTCTTTTTTAACGTTAACTACCGGAACTCTCGTCCCAAACACAAGCACCGATCGTGATGGTTGTCCAAAAATTATTATGGGTCCTGCACCAGTTTGTAGCACACGCGAATCTTTTCCAAATTTTACCATGAAACTCGCGATTCTATCCTGATTGATAAGATGCGAATTAATACTGTGTACCTAAGTCATAAACTCCAAAAAAAAATGTCAGGACATTCTAACCTAGATCTCGATTGTTTGACTAAGTGGATTGTATTAGACAGGGATACTTAATTGTGCCCGTATTAAATCTTATTTGGAAAGGCACCCAACGCGATTAAGTTTGCTGCGAATTGAGTAGGAGCGAACGTGACTACCTGATGTTTAATTTCGGCCGCCCTCGCAATCCCCCAAAGAAAATGACGCGGGTAATGCGCTTAACCGAAACAGCATCCTGAGAAAACAATTTTATCTACTATAATCACCACGGCCGCAACTAATTTGGCCAATTTTGTACGGGCAGGTTGCGATCGTATACCAATTAATTCCTCCAGAAGTATTAGCTTACGTGCGCTCCTTAATAAATTTGTGACGATAATTACAACTGTATAACAATAATATTGCGAACAGGCCCCAGTCGGCGGTATCGGTTTTATTGATTTAGTTGCGTGTTGCAGCTGAATTAATACGAAGAAAATTGAATGTCGAAAAAGCCAAAGCTTCGTGATGTCTCGATGTCTACAAGTATTTCGAATGAAACGCGATATAAACGCAAACTAAGATCTTAAATTAAATTTTATGTTCATTTTGAATTGGAAATTGTAGAAGAAATTACATGTCGCCACTTCGTGCTCGCAATTTGACAGGTAAGATGAATCCTCTATACCTTTTATTCCATTTAATACCACCCTCATAATTTTTGTTTTCCATTTTAGGAAAATCATATGTCACATGCCCCGCTATAACTGTATATTGACCCATGCGACTTCCACGTAACTGATTTTAAATGTCGTAAACGGAACAAGAAAGTTAGTTCCTGCTTTGCGCACACCCTGAACATAAGGTCTTTCCACAGTTGAGGGTTGGTTTAGCACAGTTTAATAACGCAATGTTCAACTTAACCGCAATCCAACGTAAAATACTCTCTCCATTAGAAAAATGAACATACGCTTTCATTTTCAAGTATTTAGGGTCATGTTTGTGCTTTGGGGTATTTAGATACATCTTACTTAATCTTTCAAGAGTTCTATGAGACAAAAAAAATGCGCAAAAATCGAGTTCAGGAGATAAATTAAACTCGTAATTAAATGTATTTTATTTTTCGTGTTAAATGGAATGCGCTATATTTAATTCGATTTTTGGAATTCAGTACAAGATATTTGTGAATTTGTGAAATCTAAAAAAACGGACCAGAATCAAATTTTAAGAGCATATAAAAGGTCATTCCCCCACACATAGCGCAACGTGCCTACACTAAGAGAGATAGAACCGAAAAATACCGGTTCTTTGGCATTAATAAAAACGGTACTGGTATCGGTTCCGGTTATCATAACTTCTTAAATAACAATTCCGGTTCCCAGTGAGAGGCATTTTAATGCAATCGGTTCCGGTTAAGGTACCGGTTCTTTTCGGTTCCGGTTCCAACTCCTGGTACTCCCGAATCCCATTTATCTATTTGGAAACACTATAAGAGAAAACAACAATAAATCATTTATTAAAATCATTGTTTTCGGAACAGGGCGATCCGGAAGTTGAATTCACCGGCAACGGCACCCATTTCGGTTCGTGTGCGGACAATTCGCGCCCGGACAATTCGCACTCGGATAATTCGCACCGGAATAATTCGCACCCAGACATTTCGCTCGCGGATAATTCGCACCCGGACCATTCGCACTCGAAAAATTCGCTCCCGAATAATTCACACCCGGATAATTCTGTAAATCTTTGGTTTATTAAAATTAAATATTTTTAAGAGCCTACTAGACCATTGCCTTTACAGAATGTATGTAGTAGTGCACATCTTGGTAAACATCTACTTCATGGAAAAATGTTTCAAATAATAGTTATTTGGTCTTTCATTTTCAACACATCGCGATTCTTAAGTATTTCCATTTCTTAAATATAATCACGCTGGTTTTTTTTCTGAAGTTGTATGAAGAGTCTGATATAGTTAAATCCTGTAATTTAAGAACACATAATTTTTATCTACTGCGCTTTCGTTTTGAGAAAATAAGAATAGGTAACTGAAACGTCTTTTGTGGAGTAATTAAATACCAAATAGTTATACCTAGTTATAGTATATCTTCAATATTATATGTGTAATATTGCTAATTTTGAGACGCTCTTAATATTAAAACAGAATCAACATATAATACCGTACACAAACAAAGTGATAAGTCTAAAGTTAAAAATATTTACATTATAAGATCAAGATGAAAATAGAAAAAGGAAGTAATTTTAACGCTCCCTTACATAAAGATTTCTTAAAGACACATAAAAAATTGTTCTTTATTTCTTTAGTTGAAAGGGGTGACAAAGAAAATGAATTAAATTTATTTTAGACAAAACGAGTATGTATAAATGACAATAGAACAATGCATTTCATAGATGGCACTAAATTTGGATAAGTAATTAAGATAATATTATAATTAAAGGTAAATTTTGAAAAGACCCCGATAACACAAATTGCACTTCATAAAGAAACAATAAGAGAAATATCGTAATGACATCCTTTCTATTATTTCTGGAAGATGAATAGGGTTTATTACAAGGTAAAAGTAATTAGGTCCGAAAAATCAGGTTTAAGTACGTATATGACCACAACTAATTAGAACTTTAACGCCTGTATAGTATCTTCATTCTTGAACGTTTGACAGAGTGGTATTTTGAAATTTATCTGAGCACGGGTTTTGATTTTGTGTATACTTTTTAAAAAATTTTATCTCTGGTGGTAGTGTTATGGTGGTGTTCAGAAAAGGTAAGTTTCCAGTTTTCTTAGAATCAGTTTTACGTTTCTTTGACCACATATGGCTATATATTGATTATTGGTGACTGAGTAAAATTACACTAACTGCTTATTTTTTTGCGTTATCTTTGCTACAACTATGGTAGTGAATGAACTTAAAAGTTTCTTTTTGATTTTCTTACTCTGATTTATTTTATAGTTTGAAGAGATACATTGAAAAATTCTGGCAATTTTATAAGAGATTGTTAATAATCAAAACAGTAAAGCTTTTAAAAATCTTGAAACGTTTTAGGAACAGGTCGATATTGATGATTTTTTCTTTTAAATGTTTGTAATTATTAAGTACCTATTATACTTCCCTTTTAATTTTTGTATGGCATACCTAGTACTAAAGCATAACCCTTAACATTGGTAATTGCGCAACAAGGAAGGTAGGACATCATTGGAAAGGCTTTCCTTCTCTGAATTTGGTGAGACTATAATTTTTTAGATTTGATATTTTCGAAATATTTTAAAAGTAAGTTGAGGGCGCGCTGTTGTTTATGTCATTGGAAGGATGTCGGGCCGATTACTATGTAATAGAAGCAATGCGATCGTGCGTCAAAATTATGCAGTTGCAAGTATAAGTATAAAAAAGAGAAAACTTGTACCTGTAACGTCGAATGCGCTGGAAATGAAACAACTAAACCAAAAAAATTACATATCCGAATTCAGAGATGGGCGACCTTACCAACGATGCATCATTTAAGATTGTAAGGGTTGCACTGTCAGCGATGCGAGACAAAGACATTAGTGAGCAAGTTTTATTTTAGACACTGTTTCCTTCCATGATCAATTTGACGTGCCAAAGCGTTTTTTGAAAATTATTTTAATTTACAGAAATAGCTATGTATGGTTTCTAATGCACCACCGTATATTAATTAGCTTCGGAGAGATAACACCAAAGTCTCCCCATAAAAATTTTTATAATAATAAATGGGTAGATTTTGGTGTTATTTCTTCGAAGCTTCTTAAGCACCCCACTGAGAGTCATGGATCTTCACAATTTCAGTATATTATTTAAATAATAGCCATATAATTTATAGCAAGATCAATTTTTTTCACGATGTTTATCAACATTTTTTGCTTTTTTCGTTACTTTACAGTCCTTATCTCTTTAATTTTACGGAAACTCTCAAGAATCTATTTGTTGTACGTTCAAATATGATTATAATTTACTTGAGATTCTTTTAAGACAATACACACGTATTTCCTTATGTGTCCTTTAAATGGACGACATCGAAGGTTAGAGAACTAGGAAACTTAACTTGCAGCTATTAACAAAAATAATAATTGTTAAAATTTTATTTAGACTTTTATATTCCTATTGCAATATTATTTGTACGTGCTAAAAGTTTCGAAATGAGAAAAATCTTGATTGTAAATTGGTACAATAAAACTGGGTAAATAGGTTTAAGAAATGTCAGATAGACCGATACCAGCGTTTAGCAGCATCCGTCTACTTGTGAACATGAGTGCATGGACAATTTACATCACGGATGAGTGCCTTTTTACCTTTTTTTTTGTTTTTTAAAATAAATTTTCATTCATGGTACCTTTAGCAAGTGTTCTCATGTTTAATACGGAGATTACAATAAAATAAGTACTAAATTCCAGATTTTGAGTGATATGGATGCTATTAAAGTGACCTAAAATCTCTACTGCTTTGATATGGTCCATTCCATTTAAAAAGGTACATAGGATTGTACGTATGAATTCTTGCCTCATAAATATCTACTATTAAAAAAATTATTGCTCTAAAAATTGTATGGCTATTGTTTAACCAACATAAATATTTAAGTGCCACATTAAAATGCCAAAATAAAGGAGAATATCATCAAAAATGGACTTGTGCCTGAGGCTAAAAATTTGATTTGTTACAAAAAGTTGATAATGAATATGAGATTTATTTATTTATTTTTATGGCAAAAGCCTGTTACAGCGAATAGAATCATTCGACACTTGTTGTTTATTACCGTAAACCCTCTGGCAAACCAAAACGCTTGGTGTACATTTTCCGAATCATACAAATAATCAAACTATTTCAATTCTCCCATCTATGGATTGAATGACAGGGCTCATTTTCTTGAGATACCTCTTCACCACCTCGTAGTCCATGTCTCCGACTCGACGATTCACAAGATTGTCCTTTATGACCTTGTATCCGTCTCCGCCATTGGCCAAAAACGAGGGAACGATTATCCTGTAGGTTTGTTCCAGTTGTAAGGGCTCATACTTTGGCACGGGGCATTTACGGCAAAGCACTTTAACCGATTCCACTTTTGATCCGAATGAGCGGCTCATATTATATCGCACGTGAATTCCTAAACACGAATCAAGATTAAAGAAAAACTGCTTGGGTTTCTACCAGAAGTTTGTATAATATCCAAACTGCTCATAATTCTTTGGTTGTTAAACGGTTTCGCCGATTGTTCCAAAATCTCCTTGATATGCTTCCCTTTCACTTCCCCAACGTCTACAGTACTTTCAAATGGAGTCACCTGCATTAAGTCGCCGAATGTGATTTCTGAAAGGGAGCACTACGTCATCAGTGTTTGGTAAGGCTAACGCATACCTCCGACCGGAATTGATGTACGTATACCACCAGCGTTCATGAATGCGATGTTTGCATAAGCCCATACTCCTTCCTCATTGGTCTCTAAGTTCTAAAAGTAAGACTCAGGTTAATGGAGACAACAGGAAGTGCGCCTTACAGCGTTGACCATAGCATCGGCAATAAAGCTGCCAATATTGCACTCCTGACGCCTGCACTTTCTGTTATCGAGGACTACATTGGAATACCCGACAACTTCATTCGCCAGTTCATCCATTCCCCTCTTCCACAATGCGATTTCTTCATTTATTTCGGTATCTAACAACTGAGTTATTAACCTTCTTAGGTTTTGCAGTGACAGCTACCTTGGGGAATACTGGAGTCCGTGTAGATCGGTTGACCTGACCAGGAAACGACGTTACCCTCGCCATCGTAATCTATTGTGATATCCCCCAGGAATTCTGTGTAGGCCGCGGCTTGAACGACGAGCACATCGTGTCCATCTTTTGCTTTGACAACGGTGGGATATGGACCTGCGGGTTGTTTCCCGTTTGGAGTATTATTACCTGAAAGGTCGAGTCAATCTCACAACCAGCGTTGGCAGTTTGGCTACCTGTGTACAGAAAACTGTGAGAATGAGCCCCGACTATGAGACTGATTCCGGGTGCAGCTTTTCTGGCGATTTCTTTTTCGATTATGTATCCGCAATGTGATAAAACAATTACAGTGGTAACGTTCTCTTCTTTAACCAACCGATCGGCTTCGTTGTTAACGCTCGTGGATTCCTCGTAGAATTTCAGCTTCCTCGTGCTTGATATACTCTACAAGGATTTCTTATTGTGAATCGCGCGGAATCATGAAGGGATAGGAAAAAGGTATTTACATCAGTCGTTGATAACAGAACTCCTATAACTCCAATTCTTCTCCCATCACGAACGATCACCATGCTCTTACGATAAATGCCTTGAAAATCGGGTTCCCCGCTGTCATCAATATTCACTGCGAGAACGGGCGCATTTAGGGCTTTGATAAAAGGAACCACTCCATCGATTCCGTTATCAAATTCGTGATTACCAAGCGTCTAAGACAAACACATTACAAGCTACCTTTGAATTTACGAGTTTACATGCGCATCGAAGGGTATCATGTTCATGAAGTGTTGCGTTACGTTCCATTTGTACAGATTGTACCACAAGGTTCCCTGGAAGTTATCGCCCGCGTTTAGTACGATTGAGTCGGGATACTTTTTCAGCTGTTGGTTTACGGCGCTGTAGATGCGTGAAAATCCACCGATGCAGTCTGATTTGCATGTACCCGATTTTCTACTGGTTTCCTCAAACCTACCAATGATCTGATTAGCTTTGTAGAGTATTGAATTTGCACACAATACATTAATTATCTTTTTATCTTATCTGTGTCTTACAGAAAAAATACGCATTTCATCATTCACCTGCTTTTGGAGAATCCAAAGCTCAAAACAGATTCATTATGACCAACTGGACTTCAGCATCCGATCATGTTAAATGAAGAACCACTCACCTGGCATGGAAATCATTTAAATGGATAACGTGCACTTGGAATGCGGTTGCGTTTCTGATTGAAAATGCAGAAACTGCTTCAAAAATTAGAAGAAGCGGAAATACCACCTTAAGCATAGTAACCGAGAACGTGCAAATACCACGAACTGCAAAATTAAAGTAAAAAAACGAGTGTTTAGCATTGTTTATCAGTGAGTAAGATAAGATTACTGTAATGTACCTGCTTGAATGATCCAATTAAAAGTTTGCAACCTCCAAATCACTCACGCAGATTTTAGTACAATCGGGTGCCCGAGAATTTGTAAGTTGATGAAATTGCTCATTTTAAAGCAACAAAGTGAAACACTCAAACCGTTTGACAGGTGTGCCGAAAAGATGAATAACGCTTTTGCAAAATGCCAAAGTCGGATGAAAATTGAGATGGCTTGTGGGTGTCAATTCGCACTTGTATAGTATACAGGGTGTTACATGACCGCGTGTAAAAAAAATGGAGTGATAGAGGAGATAAACCGAGGGTCCAACGTGTTTCGTTTGGGAGCCACCCCCAAAGAAGTGGTGAAATTTGGATTTCTTCTTTAACTTTTTTCTCAGCAACCATAAGAGTTACAAAGATGGATAGCACGTCTTGGAATAGGTTTTCGAGTATGGCATATCCGATTTTGAAATTTTTTTTCAAAATTTCTACCACGAAAAGGCGCAACCCTACTTGGGGGGCCGAAAAAATTCTGATTTCGACGAAATTTGGTACATGGGTTTTTTTAACATGAAAATGAACAATCGGGAATTAGTTTTTGAAAATTCGAAAAAAGGTCCACTGCAAATTCTTCTCCGGACAACGAAAATGGAGAGAATTCCAGGAAATTTGTTGTGTACATACTTGATGAGTTAAGGAACAAAATTGTAGAACATTTTTTAAAATAACTTTTCAACAAAAGTTACACTCATTTGAATGAAGATTGGGCCTTCGAGTTACAAATTGTCCCCCGCCTACTAGTGAGAGATCTAATTTCACACGTAGTTAATTGAAAATGTCGCAAATAAACAAATAACGATTTAAGTCGATATTGTTTTATTTTGATCTAGGACTTCTAAGACATATGTTATTGATGTAATTATAATAAGCTTTTTTGAAAAATGTTCTTGTATTAATGTACTCACATCATCGAAAAGAGAACAAAAATAAATGTCTATCAATTGAGCCCAACGAAAAGGTGCACAGCCATTTAAAAAAATGCAATTGTTTTTCTTTACTAATTTGTTTTCTGAAATAAAAACAACTGAATGCTGCTATATTATGGGAAATAAAATGTTACAACTTTCATATGGAAAAATGTTGTATACATTCGATATGTAGGGGTGTTAATGAATGAGCAATTTAAACTTGCCGCGTTTTTGTTACTTTCGTTTCAAGGCTTTCAAATACAATTTTAGTTACCTGCGCATAACTAATGCGTGCACAGAATGATAAATAATTTTTTGATTTCAATTATTCGCATAGAGTTAAGTAAAAGCAAGCAGAACAGTTAAAACGTTTAGTTCTTTTAGGTGATTGGGGTGAGTTTTCCTTGTGTCCTTTCCTTCGCCACCCCATTCACAATTTCAAACAAGTTTACGCCGATTCGCCGAAAAACTAAAGGTAAGATTTACTTAAGATACAGTCCGCTCATTTACAACCGGGATATACCTATTTACTATATACTATATTCCAAGAGATATTCCATATATAATGGGCACCCTGTAGATTTCATCTGGTAGTCTTATCGAACCAGGTTTATTGTCGTGGGCTCTTGGACTATTAATTAAAATTCCACTAACACACACAAGAGAAACAATGACTTAAAAAGTCGCTGGCTTCCAACTTATTGGGGGTGGTAAGGGTTTTGGAGTTAACCACAATTGAAATTTAAATACACAAAGGAATAGATTAAATTGTATTATTTGCTATACTCGTATCCAAATTACGTTTGTATTGTCTGGAACACACATCTCCTGCCTGAGATCTGTGAACTCCTTGCAAATCCTAAGACGCATTACCTATTATACACACTTCGGAAGGCAGGTTATTCCACACAGAGCTGGGCAGAATACTTTCAAAAAGTCTTTGAATACTAAATAGTAAATACTTTACACAAATCAAAGGTATTTGAATACTAAATACTTTTACGTCCAGTACAAGCGAATACTAGATACAGATACATTGAAAAGTATTCAAATACTTTAGAATGTATTCGAATACTTTCTAAAGTATTCTAATACTATCAAAGGTATTCGAATACTACAAAAAGTTTTCGAATACTTTGAAAAGTATTTCATTACCTTACTTTGAAAAGTATTCGAATACAGTAAAAAGTATTCAAATACTTGTCACTCAAATACATTAAAAATTTAAAATAGTATACTAGATAAAAGGCTTAATACTACTTAAAAAATCAAGTTATACTTTGTATGGCGTTAGCTTTTTTTATATTTCTATTGTTATATACAAATTTAAGGGGAGCAAAATCGTATTATTATTATTATTATTATATTATTATATAGGAGGTACCTACCAGGACCTTTCTTATACCAGTTATATCCTTAAGAATACGTGTACCAGTTTTCAAAGCGATCGTACGCCTTTCTGAAATTAATCCTAGAGATTTTGGAACAGATCCATTTTTGACCATCCGTTTGTCCGTGTGCATGATAACTTGTTTAGAAACGTGCGATCGCTTTGAAAATTTGTTTTTTGTCCATAACCTTTGATTGAGAAGTCTGATCGAAAAAGTGCGAATTGTTTTGGATTCTAGGCACCAAAATTAATTATAAAAAGTGTTTTCCCGAGAAAATTTGGTGCAGTCCATTTTTGTAAAAAAGGAAGGTTGTACACTGCCTTTTTCTGAGGCCCTCAAAAAAGATTGTCTCAGATCCACCCGGAAAAAATCTTCTTATAGAATGTGGCCTGTAGAATCCATAATTTCAAACAGTTCCAAGATTGGGCTACTAGTTCAAAAGTTACAGCCCTTTGAATTTTCTTTTCGAAATTGGTTTCTAGTCTATAACTTTTGATTGAGAAGTCTGATCGAAAAAGTACGAATTGTTTTGGATTCTAGGCACCAAAATTAATAAGAAAAAGTGTTTTCCCGAGAAATTTTGGTGTAGTCGATTTTTGGTAAAAAAAAGGAAGGTTCAAATACTATGCGAAGTATTCGAATACTAAATACTTGTGAAAGTATTTTGAGTTACAAATACAAATACTGCTTCCATAAAAGTATTTAATTACAAAGTATTTGATTACTTTAAAGGATTTGAATACTAAAAAGTATTTACAAAATCGAATACTGCCCAGCTCTGATTCCACAGCACTCAGCAGGTTGTAACAACCAACTAATTCAGCGGCAAGGTTAATCTTATCAGTGAGTAGGTCTGTGTACAGAGAGCCATGGGGTATGTATTCAACCTTTAATTTTAAACACTCGTCTAAAAATGTGCTGTGGCTAGCACATCGACCACCCGCATACCTGCTCATGCGCGATTCTGCCCTTTTATGCAGAACTGAATGACTAGCAGATTAGTGCCATTATGACACCTCGGAGCAAAATGACCTAACACAAACACCCTATGTATAACTATGATTACCGCCCTGTATATTTAAGATGACAAACTATTACAGTAAAAAATTCAAATCTCCCACACAAACTCAAACTGACCGCTACAAAATGAACATCCGCAAATTCAAAAATTCAAATCAACCGCGCAAATTCAAACTTACTGCGACAAAATGGCTGACAGCCGGAAACTCAAAAATTCAAATCTACCGCACAAATTCATTTTCAAATTTACCGCGTTGGCGCGTAACGACCTGTGACGTCACAAAAAAAAATGGAGGGGTGAGCTTACCTTTCCCTACTGTCTATCTTGTTCTGTCCTTTTCAAGGTATGACTTCTACTTCTGCAAGAATATACCTACCTAATCAACAGACTACAATGGTTTTACATGAATTCTACTATCCTACTTCCACTTCCACAAATAATGTTGGTTCCCTTTAACTGAAGAAGCACATCCTTTTTACATATCTGACCAATATTGTTTCTTTCCTCCTTCGTAGCTGTTTATGGATACCAAAACTTTTTACTTTTTTTTTATGTCCATTCTGGAAACATTTTTTTTGACACTCTAAGATCAAAAACATTGTGGAGGATCAGCCTTGCTCCGATTTCGTGAAATGAAGCGTCCCTTCCTGTCTCTTAAGGGGTTTAGGAATCAGTTCAATATCTTTCTTTACCTTATTTTCTTGTATCCATCAATTGTACGTCTGATTTTGTAGGTGCAGGTCTCAATCCGTTTTTGACCGACCTTGAGATCCAGTACAAAATGGAAGCTTTGGATTTTTGGATATCAGAACATCCATTCCAAAAGAATTGAGGTTTATAACTTATGACCGATATAATCACCAAATGAAACATTGTGAAATATCGATTTTTCTTTTATTGGAATGTGTTTAAATTATAGAATGGAATGATGTACCTATTCTGTCGATATGATCTATATCATGTTTGCTTGATTCAAGTGTAGGATTAAATGAGTTGACATTTTCTACGAAAACTGGTATCGATAAAAACTGTTTAAGAAAAACAAGTAAACAGAGCATGAATACTTAAATAACTTCACAGCTTTTTATTAATTAATTAATTATCTTATCGAAATATAACTCTCCCCTCTCATCTAAATAAAATTGGATGGCACTTTACATTAGACACTTGTAACTGCAGTGCAATTGACGTGAAAGTTAGACAGTATGAAGGTCGCAGTACTTGTATGTGTGATTCTTACATTATTTCAGGTAAACGGTCGATTTTCTGGAAGTGTAGCTTTAATTTTTATAAACAGGTTTCGTGTAGGCGACTCAATTATGTAGCGGAAGATTTCATTTGCATGAAAAAGTTGGGGATTGAAGAAAGTTACCTTAACGACCGAGTTGGCGACAATTTCTTGCTAACAACTGGCGATGACCAGTTTAATGATTTCGTGGTGTGTTGGGTAAAGGAAATGGGACTGGTCGATGAAAATATGCAAATAATACCTTCCGAACTGAAATCCTACATATTAAAACATCAATTTAATCTCTTCAAGAAGAACGACTATCCCAACAAAGACGAAGTGGCAGAAAGGGTCTCCAAAAGTTGTCTAAACACACAGCCAGGAAAAAATGATGGGGACACAATGGTTAATATATTCAATTGCGTAATGACGCAAATGGGTGCTTTGTAAGTTAATTTGTAAATAAACAAAGTTACAGTGATTATTTTGCCTTACACCAGGAGATCATATCGAATAACCTTTTCACGTACAATTTCCACAGCTGTTTGCTCTCAAAACATAAGTTGCTTTGTATTACTGTGTAACCCGCGTATTTCCCAAGAAAGATTCGTTTCGCAAGTGATTATCAAGTCTGCTGTGACCCGTCCTAATCTTTCTTCATATAAAACATCACGTAAACAATTTTTGGCCAAGGTTATCCATTTGAGCTGTAGTGTTCATCATGGCCCAATTTCTAAAGTTTTTCTGCTTTCTTTACGCATTTTCACAGGTGGGTGATAATTAACACGATACAATGGCGCTTACCTACATTTCAGGTACTACCAATTGATATTGATGAATCCCACTACACGATAGAGGACTATATTTGTATGAACCGTACCGGAATCGAGAAGTCATACGTGGATAGTCACCTTAATGCAGACTTCGTACTCACCAGAGGAGATGAGAAACTAACCAAGTTCATGGCGTGCTGGGGTGAAGAAATGAAGCTCGTCGATGACGAATTGAAAATTTCTCACTCGGGGTGGGAAAGAGTAGCTATCCATAATATGTTTAAGTTCATCGGCAAACCTGATTATCCCAATAAGGAGGAGTTGGCAAAAAAATTCGTTAACGATTGCAAATATATCGAATCCGGAAGCGATCATGGAGATAGTACAATATTGATGCTTAATTGTATGCTGGTGCCATTCCTGAAGCTGATGAGGCAATAGACTGGGAATTGATCTGTTTAAAATCTAAGCAAAAGGAACTTTAGCGTAGGTTTTTACTTGTAGTATAATAGTAGAAGCTCCCTGGAATTATTAAGATTAAAGGTGTAATTGAGTAATGAGAGTAATTGGGTATAAGACAATCCAACTCAAGCACTTACACTCGCATTTTTAAGGTAAAAGTTTTTGGTCTCTTGATTTTGAACCCTCACTACGGACTAAGTTCGAGAGTAAGATGAACATTCCCTACACCAATATTACTAAAAAAATCACGTCGAATTTTAACGGAAGATGCATTTAAACCTAGACTGTGAGTATACGGAACGTAACAGGAAAGAGACTCATAGTGCTGTCTTAAGGTGGGGGTGGGGTGCTTACGCCGCTACAATTGTCAGTCCTTCCACCACGGCGGGACGCGGGTGTGCAGATGTGACAGAGTTTCATTTTACCATTTATTATTAGTCAAAATCAGGCAAAAACTTAAATCAACTACAAAAAAGCTAAAGTTTTCTTGTGTTTCTTCCCCTTTTCTCTAAAACCATCCTCTTTACCCCTCTTCCAGTAAGTACTTCACTCATGCTTTCCCTTTCTCTTTCCACCTCTTTGCATTCTCACAACACGTGCTTTATATCTTCCTCTGTGTCCCCAAATTCTATATTTTCATTTTCCTTCTGTTCTCCTAACTCATTTTCTCTATCCCATTGTTGTTCCCCTATCTAATATGTCGTTTAGTGTCTATCAATTTGTGGTGCCTTCCTTGTAATCCTGCTAGTTCATTCCGTTCCTTTCATCCCTCGGTTCCATACATCAGCACACCTCTCACCATTGCATGCAAAAGGTAATTTGTTATTCTGGATTCGTTTTTGAATCACTTCTTTCCTGTCCTGTTCTCACCACAGGGAAAACTAGGCAGTATTTAGGCACACCAAAAGCCCATTGTGCCTACCCGCTTTGTCTCGCAACTAGGTCCAGAGCCCGTCCCTTCGCCTGAAGACGAGGCTGCGAGGAGCCGTCTCCGTGGACATGTTGGAACGAGTGTAATGTTCTAAAGACCAGTAGGTGCCCCATTCCTTATTTATGCATCTACCAGCTTCTCCACCGTTTTTTGAAGAAACGATGATAGGGTGATGGGCCTGTAATCCTCCGCCATGTCATATTTGACACAGGTACACAACTCTTACCTGACTCCCTCTTTTGAGAATATACCTTAAAGTCAGGGAGCCTCTAAAAAAGGGCAACAAATGCAAAAGAGCCGGGAATATCCCATCCAGTCATGCACTCGTAAATAGGATGAACGTGTCGCAATTTCAGAGATCCCTCGGTAACCACTCGGGCAGCTGACTTCCAGTCGATGGGCCTTACACCGACCCGGGTAGCTCACTTGGTGGGTTCCACTTCGAAAAGTCTGCAGTTTACAGCTGTACTCGTATGACGCTATTATGTTGTCGCTTACTAATAGGGTCACCTCTTTCACTTGCCTTGGTTTCGGACAGAGCAAAGGTGGTCTATCCATGATGAATCTCGGTGATGCTCCCTGATTTAAAACATTCAAGTCAGTTGTTTACAACTACTCCAGAGGGTGGTTTCCCCTTGAGTTCGAGACGGTGCTGCCCCACACAGCATGGAGTGCGTTTGCATAACAATCAAACACAAAAGGGAGTCGACTATTTCGACAGTTCTCTATCAACACTTGCACCTCTCTGGTAATACCCCTTTTCCGAGGTCGTACGGGAGATAGGCTGAGCAGACCGCCAAGTGCCTGCTCCGTCCTCTTCCATCTCTCAGCTGAAGTCTGAGCAACGAGAACTCTTACACAGAAATCAGCCATTAGATAAGACTCGATTCGTCTATCTACATAAATGCAAATCCTAGGTGCCATTCTTGTAACAAAGATAATCCTCTACCTGATCCAGACCTCTTACTCCTCCCCTGTAAACCCAAGGTTCTTGTATGATGCTTTACGATAGGTTGGCGGCCTATTAACCAGGTTGCCCTTTACTGTGCTGCCAAATTGCTCTGTAAGAAGGTTACCTTGTTCTTTACTGATGTACTAGGTTCCTCCTCCCCTAGTGATACCGACGGTTCCGACGCAAGGGTCGGAGTCAAGAACCACCGCACGAGCCAACAGCCCGTTGACATTTTTCTCGGCCTCTGAGGGAACCGGTAGTAATCCCGACGCCCTTCGAAGTCGATAACGAAAGATTGAGCCCCCTCTGTCGCAATGGGACTTTGGTGGAACCCTATCCCCTTACCTGGCGCAGACGGAGCCCTCGCTTTTGTCACAAAGGTGACGTGCGAGACCCCCGCTGGAGTGCCCGATAGAATGGTCAAATACGAGGAGACTCCTCCCTACAGAAAAACGCCGTCCATATGCTCGTCCTGAAACTAGGATTTTTCTTCTGGATGCGTTTCAAGATGGTGGCCGTGTCATCCGGGTGTTCGGGTACCACATCCATCCCCTTGGTTACTGGACGTGTATCTGAACCTTTCAAAGACGCGCCATCCCAGGGCCTAATGAGTGGGAGGGCCTTCTCCAACCAGTCGCAGGTACACTGGTCTTGTCACTTGCTCTTGTGAATAGAAGCTCTTTCGAGGAGTCTCCCGTACTCCATTTTGTTTGAATTATCGTCCATACAACTCCCACGAGTAGTGCGGAAATCCGGTCTCACCTAGGCAAAGCCGTTTGTCCAGAGCTTGGCTTCCAGCACCTACGCAATAATCGTCACTACCCACACCGAAGCAAGTAGTCACTTTACGATCATTCGTGTCTGTGTGTGCGTCCCCCTATCGGCCACCCGGAGACGCGCCCGAAGGCCAGTGAATTTGGTCAAAAAAGCTATAGCCAAAATTGTCGATGGTTCAAAACCAAATTCGGGAAATAAGTTCCAATAGACTTATTGCAGATTGTATGGGAATTCCATACAATCACTGATACTGAAGCTAAGAGAATATCCAAGCATCTTCCAATCTCAGCAGTTAGTGAAATACTGCTAATGACCTCGGCAGTATCTCTACAGAAGTCTGAAATTTATGCAATCTTAATAGATCTTGGAGACATGTTTAAATATACAGACTAGGCCTGGGTTATTTTATTGGCCGTGCCGAATGTCGATGATGACTATGCGCGACAATAAACCAACGAATTTGGTTTCAATCACAATCATCCATGGAATTATTGCCATAAGAAATACATTGTAAACTTCGAGGCAAAAATGCAAGTTTGATTCCCAAATGACATACTAAGTGTTTAGTATCACTATCATTGGTTTTGTAATTTTTTCTCTATCAAGTGACGTAAACTCCACTTAAAAATAAGGAAATTGATGTCAATATCTCGAAAACCGCCATTTTGAAAAAAATGTTTCTACTTCCATTCGAATCTTGCAACTTTTATTTGAAACTTTTTCGATAGTTCTCTTTTTCAAAATATCGCACCGGAATTAATACCCATCAGCATCAAAAACTATACAACTTTGCCAATTTAACCGAATCTGTAAGTATAGTTAAGTGGCCAAATCGAAAAACGACTCTGTTTCTTAGTTCTAACGGCATTTTATGAGCCATTTTGGCTACATGATTTTTTAGATGTAAAAAAATGTGCTGAATCCGATTCTGGATGTTGCCAGGCCGAATTTTGGACTAGTTCACAAATACAGCACGATGGCGCCACTATCTATTGTATTGTGTGCTATTTAGTATTAAATTGTTTTCCATAATTTATTACTTATATATAGGTAAGAGTTGGTTAATTAACTCCATAGCTAGTTCGGAAAATGTAGGAAAATATATCCTGTGGTGATAGGGTGTCCCAAAAAAGCTGTGAATGAATTAAATTAGTGTTTTACATTTTCCTCAGCAAATTTTGTTTGTTATTAAATTTTGTGCTTTTTAATAACCGTTGGTAAGTATTTAGGTTCTTTCCAACTATATATATATATAAATAAAAATTGCGTATTTTTCCAATGAATTCAAATCTGCATTTAAAAAAACAAAACCACATCGCATTTTTCAGATGATAACAAAAATGTGACTTTGACATGGAACACCCTGTGTATTATTACATAATATGACAGGTTATTAAATTCTTTATAAAACACTGTAGCAAAAATATTTTAAATAACCAACATTTTCAAATTATTGACGATCTCCTAGGACGTAGAGAGTTTATAATTTTGCAGTGCCTGTCCATCTATCCCGAGATCTGTTCATTAGCACGATACCTCGAAAACGAATAGACCGCCGCCGATTATGATGAAAGTTCGCGAATTGGCAATGTACGTAAAAAAATAAAGAAGGCCCTTTTGACATCTCCGTGAGTTGTAAACCGAATTGCATGAAATTCAATATGGGCATAGTCGAGGGCATAGTTTTAGCCATATAATACGCAATGCCAACAGTTGGGCCTAATCAATTCTACATTCACAGTGCCCTTTTTGAATTGCAAACTTTTTTATTTATGAAAGTACTTAAATAAAAAATTTGATACATAGGCACTTGGAATAAAAGCAAATCTAGCACCGGGTTCAAAATTTGGTTTTTCACAATGCTATAGCCACTACCTATTAAGAGTAGTTTTAAATGGCATTAAATATAAATTAATTACATTAACTTAGCGTTAACCACATTACATTACATTAACTGAATTAACTTGAAATTAACTGCATTTACAGAATATATTAATTACATTAAAAGTTAATTTTAATTCATTTAACTTGATCAAGAGTAAAACAATAAAACAGGTTAGCGCAATAATCGGTGTAAAATATCTAATCTTTAAACAGCCGGTATTCAGTTGCTATAAACTTTTTTTTTTTAAATAGTCCGAACATTTTGTAGATAAAGGTCTAAATTTATAAAATATAAAATTTATATATTATTAATATAAAATTTAATTTTCAAAAACAACTTGAGTTTTTTAGGCGGACGTTCTTATGAAAACTTACATTGGGTGCAGTGGGTACAGAAGGGCGTAGAGTTGCATCTTCTCATTATGCTGTTGCCGGGGACATTTTGTACCATACATATTGTCTCGCAAATGCGATAAGGGACACTGAAAAATCGAATGGTCAGACTAGTCCTCCTAAAAACTTGGCTTTAAATAAATTGTGCTAGTTTCTAA